TAATTCATGTGCTAACATTATAAAACATTGTATCAAAAACATGAGATGACAGAAAACTCGAGGAGAGTCCTACTTTTGAGAGAGTTCTCTTAGCATTTCTCTTATAAAATATGATTTCAATATGTGATCACCCTAACATTACTCTTTTTTTAATAAGAGGCTTTTATATATAGTTGTTTGATAATACTTTCATTTTCATTTTTTTCATCTTTTTTTTTAAATTAAAAACTTGTTTGGTAACTACATTCAATTTTTATCTTTGAGAAAATGAAATATTTTTTGCTTACCACCTTCAAGTGAGTTTAAATTTTGAGATATATGTAGTCGATAAACACCAATATCAAAATTTAAACTCATCAAATGGTATTAACTAATAAGTAGGATGGTGAGCAAACATTCATCCTTCAAAAAATTGAAAACTTAACCAAAGAGTGAAAACTACTTTCTTGCATTTTTAAAATTTATCTTTGAGTTTTTTGTTTTATTTTTTTTGAAAATTGAAATAGTTACAAAATAAGCTTTCATTCGCAAAACTAAAATCGAAAGGTTGAAATAATTATCAAAGAACTTCTAGCATCATAATATAGTTTTTAGGATATCATAAAATCTACCTGAAAGCCAAATGTGAATATGAAGACCTAAAATTATATATTTTGCCAAAAGACATATTGCCTAATTACTATTACGGGGCAGTAATAATTAGACAAAGACGCACTATTCAACCCAAAAAATAAAATAAAAAAAAAGTTTTTAAGCGATGTTATGGTTGCAAAAATTCGTCGTCTTTAGTCTTGACAAATTTATATCTACAAAACAAGTAATATCTTTGATCAAAGACCAAAGCCTCACGCGCCCACGAGATTGGGGGAGGGGGGAGGAAGTTTGGCCAATGAATCTTTGATGCCCAAGTCAGTATCTCTGAATTGAGTAAGTGCTTAGGGCTTGTATGCGTAGGGCTAGTTAGGTATGGGATCATGTCCCAAAAATGGGATCCCGAATCCCAAACCGATCCTTTTTGTGATGAAAATCCAAATCCCGATCCCAAACCGATCCTTAGGTAATACCGAATTTCGGGATTCCTGAAATAAATTCGGGATTTCGGTATGGTTTCGGGATTTTAGTGGGGCAGAAATTTGGCTTCTTGTTAATGGAAGAAGCTGATAAATTCAATTCAAACCTGCAGATTGGGCATGCAAAGCAGAAAAGAAATCGAACATGCAAAGCAGAAATTGACCATGGAAATCCAAAAATCCAAATCAACCAAATCCACATAAAATTAATCTAGAAATCCCTAGAAAATTAATCAAGAAAGCCAAATCCAAATCCAAATCGAAACAATCAAAAGGTCTAAATCGTAAATCCCTAATTTGTAAATTCTTATTCGAACCCTAATTCAGAGAAAGCTTTAGAGATGATAGAGACGGAGATGGGTCGATACTAGAGACGAGAGAGCTTCAAAGATTTGAGAGAGCTTTCGGCAGTAGTAGCTCCTTCCTTTCTTTGCTTCTCAACACGAAGAGTGCTACTCCATCCTCTTTCTGCTCCTTCCTCTCTCTGCTCCTTCCTCCTTTTGTTAGTGGGAACCAAAAGGCTCCTTCTTTTGAGTTGGGAAGTGAGAGCCTTCTTTTGAGTTGGGAAGTTTGAAAGCCAATTGAATTTTGTGCCTTTACATTTTTTTTTATTAATATTATTTTGTGCCTTCTGTTAGTGGGAGCCAAAAGGCTTTGCTTTTTGAGTTGGCAAATGGGAACCGAAACCTAAAAGTCAATAAGAAACCGAATACTTCGGTATTTTTCAGGATTTCGGGATTACCGAACAAATGGGATTTGGAAACCAATCCCATACCGAAAATTTCAGTATTTTTCTGGATGGGATTACCGAACTTTGGGATGTTTTTGGTTTGGGATTTTTTGGTTTGGGTTTGGGACTTTTTCAGTTTGGTTTGGGGTTTTCGGGAATTTTTTCCAACCCTATGTATGCGTAGCAAAAAGCTTACCAAAATTTGGTGGAGATAAAGGCATTTATAGGAGAAGGTGGTCAGCTATAGTTTTAGGGTTTTGCCCTACACATGGTGCAATCTTATTAGTCAAGGTGTGTCATCCGTTGGATAATGAGGAAATAATATTCTCAATATATTGATTAAGAGATAATATCTTGGGATAATGGTGGAAGTATCCTTGATTGATTGTAACATGGATTTCTTACTTGATTGAGTTGATCTTCAATTAGGAATGTATTAAAGATGAGATTTAGTAATTAATCATATATTTAACACCTTTGACTTTTTCATACCACGAGCAGGGTAGTTTTGAGCAATCGTAGTCAGCTACTTGGACCTTCAGGGATTTTGAGCTGCTTATGGGAGTATTTGAGAGCCATACCCATTCAATGAGGGAAATCTGTCTTTCTTGAGATAAAGTCCACGTGTCGCCTCTAGGATTTTTTGGATTATTTTTTGCTCCACAAATGCCCCTACACCTACTAGGCTACAAGCAGAAAAAGGCAATAGGTGTAGAAATCCCAAGCTGCTTAGGTGTGTAGAGAGTTATTTCCCCATTTGATGTATATCTTCCACCTTGTTTTGGAAATAGAGTCTTCACTGTGCAAGGGAAGTCAATTGACACCAAGACTTATTTAAGCCTGCCTTAAGCAGAGGACTTAGTAAACTCGGAGAACAATGTTATCCCTATAAAAAAGAGAGAAAAGGCTAAAGGATATTGTAAACCCCTCTCGTAGTTTTCTTCTTTGCTTGCCCTTGCAAAGAGTTGATCGTCATCGTTCTTTTTTTTTTTTTCCATGCCGCACCAAGATAAGAAAAAGTTGAATTTTTTCTTCTTCGGTAGTGTTGTCATAGGAAAACAGTGGGGGTGGTTCGGCACATCAGCCAACAAGGCCCAGGATGGCGTGGCTGAGAGCCACGAAGCTATCGCTAGAGAAGGGCAGTGCATGGCTAGTAAGTTTTCTTGCTTGTTGGACATTCAGTTGAGAAGAAGTCCTTATGTTGCTTCCGGAAAACTTGACGTTGAGTTGTTTCCAGCGTCCGAATCTGGAGTTAGAGTGAAGTATCTAGTTGTGGCTAAGTCCAGATTGGCTTCTAAAAAGCTTGCTAGTGAGAGAAATGGGGAGGAAAGTCCATCAATTGGAAAAGTGGATTCGGCTGTTAAAAAGGCGTCAAAGCCTGCTCATTCTGCTGATGCCATATCTGTGCTGCTTGCCAAGGAGGAGGGAACTGCTTGAGTTTGATTTCTCAGCTGCCGTAGATGGAGCAGTCAAGGATGAAGTCAAGATCGGAGCTAGTAAAGATGAAGTGTCGGATAAGCAAACTGCTGTTGGAAAGCCCAAAGTCATCCAAGATGCTAAATGGGTAGTCTGCTTTGTTTAGCTTGTATTAGATTTTGCCAATCTTCATGCAAGTTTATCAATTTGCTAGACTTTTAATAAACTGCTTTCTTCACTTTACTCTATCTTTGTTTTTCTTGAAACTTTGCTTGCTTGAAGAATTTTATTCTTTTGTTTGTGAATGATGGAAGAATTTTATTAGATATAAGCAAGGTTATAAAAAGCGGTTAGCGGTAGTCAAACAGTGGGGAGGGGCCTAATGCTTAGGGGTCTAGGGTTTATTTTAATTTGTACATCTGTTATATATTGTATAATATAATTATATATATGTAAAATTTTAGACTCCTTTGGTTGCTTTTGCATCATTTTCTAAGCCCATAAATTTTGTTGGGCTTTTTTATTTACATCAATGAAAAGAAATTTTAACTAAACACTCTTGGTACTGTTCACTTTTAACAAAAATGACACTTTTACTTTAAAAAGTTACTCCTGATACTATTCACTTACAACACATTTTTGTCGTTTTTATTAAAACTCAAAGTTTTCAAGCTTTTTTCGTTATTTTTCATTTAATAAAATGAAAGGTTAGGCCTTGTATTCCTAGTTTTAATAAAATTGTCAACTGCTAAAAAAACCTAACTAATGCTAGCTAAAGCTGCTAAACCATTTTCTCCGTCACCCATATCTACAATTGCATACGCATAACTTCTCTTCTACCACTCTCTCTCTCCTTATTGTCGTAGGTTATCATTTGACTCCTTGTCTAGCACACCCTGAGCTGGAGCAGGGGTAGATCAGTCTTTTTGGCATTGACAATAACTACAAGTTATGGTTGATGGCCTTCTTCTGAAATACACAGTGCTCACATGCCCCTGAGACAACGATAGCATGTTTGATGACACGTTTATCGTTATCTAAGAAGACGAGATATTCTCAAATCTGGTTGTCCATGTGGTAGAAGCGCTTCGGAGAAAGATGAGTCTAAGCCCTCGGTTAGTTGAGGTGTGATGGAAAGGAACCCTCCCGAAACCCAAGTTGGGCTTTGGAGTTAATGGGTCGGCATCGCATGACTTTGAAGTAAATAAAAATGTATTAGCCCATAGCAGGCCTTATTTTTATATATGACCCAAACAATCTTACCAAACCCAGCAACATTGCAAGCTAATAATCTCTCTTATTGCATAAACTTCAGCAGCAGTGCCAATCACACGCACTTGTCGGCTGCTGCTCAATCGCAGACTTGAATTCTGCTTGCTGCTTCATGAAAGCCCAGACACTGACACACACTTGACATAATATAAACTGCAAATCGACACCAAATAGATATTTGGTACAACTCTTAGCACTGAATGAAATTTGGGTTGAAAAGTTCCTCCAATGATCTTCAGAACTCACTTCCAGCACAACAATGGAATTCAACCTCAAAATTGCCAGTGCGCCAAAAATAAAAAAGACATTATTTTTCTAGTATTTGTGTTTAACAATGTTAGTAACAATCGAAGTGGCGACATTCTTCGACAAAGTGCTTAATTGTGTGCGAGTGTAGAATAGAAACAAACGATGTTAGAACAATATGCTCTCCTCTCTGCGTCGAACTTCTAATTCCCCTTCTAATAGTTTTAAGAAACAATCAACTAAAATGGATCTTGTAGTCTGAATCATTCAAGGAACGTATCGTTGTAATTAATTATGCAATATAACAGAAACAGTTCTTCGCGTACCCCATTTCTCGACAAATCCTATGGTTGAACAATAAACATGACTGACAGGGACGAGGTTTTATTTTCTTCAAAATAATACTAGTTCAACTTTGTTCACCATTGTAGCACAATTCTCCAAATTTTCCAGTGTGAAATTAAGGCATCTGTAGATTACAGTATATCACTGAACTTGTTTTTTATCAGAAGCTGAGCCCCTTCAACTAACCTCTTTACCACCTCCCCTGCAGGTAAAATTTCCTTGATGAGTCCTACACTTTGGCCGGCATACATCACCATGCTTTCAATGTCACCCATTGTTGTCGCATTTGGAACAGTACCAGCAAGACGGCGAATTTCTATTTCCTGATAGAGAATATAAGTCAAGATTGCTATCCATTGGACTCCAAGTCAAATAAAGACATTCCACTTAGTTATATGCAATGCATGAAAAAATGCACAAACCGGAAATAGCATACTCTTTGTTCTAGTGGTAAGCGTTGCTTGTCAAGTATGAGAAAAATTTCATCCTCACCCTATCATGTATTATTGCGCGGCCGATGACAGGTTGACCCGCTTCATTTTGATCAGCAGGAATATATTTACAATCATTGAAGAAAGGTGTATGCAGAACACGATGTGGTGCATCGGGCCACCTTGCACGGCCGAATACATCAGTGTACTCAGTTGCGTCATATTCAACCACCTTTCTCTTGTATGCAGGATGAGCATGACTTTCTTCAGTTGCAAGAAACCTGCAAGGACAAATTTATAGAAAAACCAAATTACTAAAACTCCACTTATAATTGAAAACATCTTGAACGAACACATTATGAGAAAGTTTCTGGAAATTTGTAACTCAATGATATGAAAATGTGCTGTTTCCGAAACCTTAGTTGCAAGATTGTTTAAATATGCTCTTTGAAGAGTCTAACAGGTCAAATATATCAAACCTAGTTCCTAGGCAGATGCCCTGAGCACCAAGGGCCAGAGCAGCAACATATCCACGGGCATCCACAATGCCACCAGCAGCAATGAGAGGTATATCTCGATCTCCAACAAGATCAACTACCTTCGGCAACAATGAAATTAAAGCATCCTATAATTTGAACAATAGAAAGCACATGGGTGTCAATAATTCCAAGTATCTCAATTGACAAGTATCAGGCAATAGGCACTTAAGGAATGAAGCAAACACAAAACTAAGTATGTGACTATTGTAAAATCATCAGTGTCAATAAAACAAGATCCAAGAAAGCAGGCTCACCTGACCGATCACATGCCCTCCTGCTTCACGCCCTTGAACAATAATTGCATCTACACCAGCATGTATTGCTTTCTTCGCTTCCTCCAAGCTCCCAACCTTGAACCGAATTATATACAACTCATCAGCACGTCCAGGAAAGAAAATAACAATTAACATGCCAGATGCTGTATCATACACATGTATTCTGCCAATAGAATATATAAAAAGAAAAGACAAAACATACGTCCGATTAATTTTAGCGTGTGCACGAAGATAGATATAAGTTAAACATAATAATTCTGCTAAACAAGATGACATTCATATTTATAATTCAGAACAGTATCGCTCCGAGAACACTTACCTGAGGCACAATCTTAACCCCAGATTGATGAGCTTTCAACACAAGCTCCTCCGAACATTCACCCCAGTAAACCTGCAGCACTGCAACCTTTTCATCCAATATGGCTTGTATATTTTTCTCATGAGGAAATGCTAGAACAACACCAACCCCAAATGGTTTTTTAGTTAAGCTTCGAGTCTTCCTTATCAGCTCTTTCAAGTAATCTGGTGACTCCTGATGATCAATTAAAATTAGTATATCAACGATTCCTTCTTTAATTGAAAATTTAGTAAACTCATATATGTAGTATGTACTCCATTCCACAAAGGTTGAAAATTAACGGTAGAAATTTCAAATCTTGATATGCATATGCATTACATGAGAACTCAACATCAACAAGATCCCCTTGTTGTTTTCTTTTATTTTTCTGGGTTATAAGATATGGAGATGGAGAGGATTGAAGGATGCAAAAGGAATGAATGTTCTCTTCTCTCTTGCAGAAGTTGCAGAGAGGAATATATTTCTCTTAATGGAAAATTAAGCACACACACGTGCATTTCATGACCGTTTTGCCTTAGCTGGATCCACACACATCACACTTGATCTCAACCACACATCTAGCTAATTTAGGATCACTACACATGGCTATTTTAGCCTTACATCTTTTGACCTCACACTTGGCAGATATGCTCATGTGAATACACAAATAAACTCATCTTATTTCACTAATACTAATCAGCTATAGACTTATAATTCAACACCCCTCTCTTGTAGTTGAACAAGCTAAACATGTGGATCAATTCAAATTGGTGATGTAGAGAGGACAATTATGAAGAAGGATTTTTCGAGGAACACCAGCCAGCGTGTGAGTAGGAGGCTCCCATCTCTACCGAGGGGACTGATGGCCCAAGCATTGCTCTTACTAACAATATGAAAGTGCAGAATGTTAATGGAGTCAGGTAAGGGCTCAACAGGGAGAAATTTTTCATTGTATCCAGAACATAAGCCGTTGCACCACGTGTCATAATACAAGTGGAGGGGACACTAAAAGTATATCCTCTTTTTCCACTTGTATTTCCACACCTGGTATATCGGTACGTTGGTGTTACGGGATCCATGAAATAATCACTCATCTACAAAGTTATCAAATTGATTCCCAGAAGGTGAAGTGAAAGTTAAGAACCATGATTGGGAATTGTTTGATCCCTTTCTCCGAGGAAGAGGTGAAACATAATCAGCTTGAATTCGGGACAGCTATTTGAAATCTTAGTGAGGGATTCATTTGGCAAAAACAGTAGGGATATGCAAGAACAAACAATTTCTATTGGAAACATTCCTCTAATGAATTCTCTGGGAACTTATAACAATCATTTATTATCCAATTAAATAAAACTATCAATAAAAATCATTTTCCAACTGGAATTTAAGAAGAAGAAAAAATGGAAAACAAAAAAAGGAAAAGGAAAGAAGGGAGGCTTACCCAATCAGGAGCTCTGAGGAAACCGAGTCCACCAGCATTCGCAACAGCAGCAACAAGCTCCGGTCCTGAAATATCAGCTCCCAGCGGTGCTTGAACTATTCCGTACTCAAAACCCAATATTCCACGCCAACCCATTCTACTCTCACAAAGCTCTCACTAACTGGGAACTGCTCTAATATCTCCAGTGGGTTTCTAGTTTACTTAAAGTTATGATGATTACTGGGGATCCATGCATTTAAGGATTATATATTTTATTTGTAATGTTTTAAAGTGGGCAGACGGCTGCTGGTGCTGAGTGCTAAAGCATGAACGTGGACAGTGTTCGTCTGTTTTGTAGCAGGATTGTTGTTTCTAGATTCTACACGCAAGCTATAAACTAGTGCACCCTTTTGGTTTGTTTATTTTCCTGATAAGGCAAGGGAGGACGTCAATTTTCAGTGAAGGATTTGTATGACAAAAGTATATTGGTATTCTCCAATTTCATTTTTTAGGTTTTCAGAACAATTTTAGACTGATTAGCACTCATCACACTAATTAATTTTATGATTCTCAAAATTCTCTAGTATATATCACCTTCAAGATAACTTTATTTCTTGTAATACATTTTGTGGCGAATTCAGGACGAAATAGATTGAAGCACTTCTATGCACTGCTGCTCCTTGTATAATGAACATTGTTGGGGAGTTCTAGTTCAATTTGGTTACAACTATGTAAACCAATTAGGTTGGACTTTAATATTTGACTCTAACATATATATTGATTAGATGTATACTCTCTACGGTCTAGTTTTGTTTGTAGAATTGTATTTATATTTGTTCTACTTGGAAGTCATTAAAACATGTGAAAATTTTGGGGAATAAAAAAAAAAACAAAATAGACAAATAAAATCATTTTTATTAATAAATGTTGGCTTCAAAGTTTAGCTCATCTCAATTTTGGAGTAGCATTCTCTTCCTTTTTTTTTTTTTCCCTTCCCGTCATTCCTCTCTTATTTGAACGATCACGGTTAAGTTACGTTAACATCTTATATTAATTTTTCATAGAAAGAAAATGATGAAATAGAGAAGGAGAAAGAATCCTACTCCCTCAATTTTACGGCCGGGGGGGGGGTATTCAATTGGGAATTTGAAAAATTTTAATAGATTTATAAATCCATAGATTTTTACGGAATTTAATTGATTTGTAGAAATTCTATGTGAAATTTTGATTCAATTCCCTTGAAATCTCATGGGAAGAGATGAGATTGGTGGATGCTTGAAATACACTACAAAATCTCTCCAATTCCCTCTAATTCCTCAACTTTTCTAAATTCTCTAAATTCTAATTCTAATTGAATACACATAGAATGTTATAAACTTCTTTAATATTCTAATTGAATACACCCGGATTTTTAAGGATTTTAATAAACTATCTTAAAATCCTAATTGAATACACATTGAATTTCAGAGAATCACTTACAATCTTGATTGAATACCCCTAGATTCATTAAAAGAATTAAAATCCCAATTGAATTCCGTGCTTGAAAACAATAATGTCAATATTTCCCAATAATTAAATCCTAAATAAACTGTAGTTGTATGAAATCGACCCCTTTTTTAATATATCTGCCCTATAACTCACAGACCGACCTCGTATTTGTATGGAGTAAGCTACTTTCTTTCTTTTTCTATTTTTTTATAATATTTTTTAGAAGAATCTCGACGATACGAGAGAAATTTTATTAAATCAAAAAGAGAAGTTACACTTAATTAGGGTCATAAAATAAGAAAAAATAATAAAGTAAAATGTACAAGAAAAGAGAGAGACACATAAACTTGACCCTCTTAAGAAAACAAATAAAACTACATGAGAGGAGGGGGTGGTTTGGACGTTTGTTGGGGGACTTTTAGGTCGAAGTGGACTTAGGCTTTGAGAACATCCCCTTGTCTCTCTTGGTATGGATTCGTAACAAGTCCCGGGATATCTCAAAAGAGATAGTTTGTTTTAGAAAATACCCCGATAACATCAACGGCTCGAAGATTGCATGAAAGATCAAGATAATAACTTGCTCAAGTGAAGCGTGGTGTGGAAGCTAGAAGATTATCAATTTACATGAGAGAGAAGGGATTTGCATGGTTGCATGACATTCTTTGCTGGATAATCTAGGCTTTCCTAGGGTGATTGTAAGGTTTCTAATGGCTGGGATGTTTGATGTAAAGCTATGGAAATTACTAAGGTTGCATGGATGGTGATGCTTAGGGTTTGGAGTATGCTTCTAGGCTAAGTGGAACTTTTAGGGCTTCTTCCTGGGTGGTTCTCTCTTACTACGTTTTCTCTATGTCTCTCTCGGTGTTACTCTAATCTCATCTGTGTTTTTCCCTCCAATGGTTTCTACTCCTCCTTATGTAAGTGAAGGGATTTTCTCTAGGTTTCAAGGGAGTATCACTTTGTGGCTTAGTCTTCCCCTCCTTTCTTTCCCTTTTTTTTTTTTTTTTTTTGGAATGTGGGCTTCCTCATGGGAATTTTCCTCTTTCCACGTGGCAACGGATCACTCCTTGCCGTTATGCTACCTTGCTTCCCGTGCATGTCCAATCATATGGAGAAACTCTGGGTATTCCCCTACCTTCACTTGGTAACTGGTACAAATTGCTCTTCTCCCTAGGACAAATGTTTAATTTGTCCTTGCTTCTCCTCTCCTTATTTAATTCTCATTCCTTCTTCAATTTTTTCATAACTGCTCATCTCCAAATTCTTCTCTGCTCTTTAGGCTGGGTTATGCCATCCTGTTCGTGCTTTTCTGTGCTTTGCGACAAGGTTTTCTTCAAGTAAGGAAATTATTCCTTGACCATTTTTTGAAATTTTCTTCTCCTTTTGTCTTCTCTGTTTGCCATGGTGATGAAATTAAACATGCATCTCTCATTTTGATCACGTGTTTCAAAGATTTTGGGGTTTCAGCATGGATGCACAAGGTGTGTAGATCCTTCCTTCAAGAAATCAAACTCCATTCCTTGGGTAGTCTTGCAGGCTTCAAAATCATGTGTGTTTGCCCTCTCTGATTTCTCTTATGTTTTCCATGTATCTGTGAAATTGTCATTTAGCCTAGCCTTTTTGCATGTTGGTGCGCATTTGAGCGGGATGGATTGATCAGTTGCATTGATCTGCTTGGTGTGATTAGCTTGATTGCATACATAACCTATTTTTGCTTGGGTACATGTATAACATACTTTCCTTGGCTAGATTTTTTTTTAGGGCTTTGATAACATGGCATGTATTTTGCGTGATAGCATGTAGGGAAAATAGTCTCATGTTAAAGTCCTAGAATTTCGCATAAAGGGCTTGGAATTTTATGAACGTACCTTTTTGCTTTCCCAGGGTGTGTTTGTTTGTTTTCCCGGGGATAGATTCGTTATCGTGTTTTGCCTTGTATACTTGCACGTTTCTTCTTGCATGTTGCACTGGCTTGTGGCATCTATGGTTTGGCACTTGCTTTCCATAGCTGTATTATGGATGCGGAATCACCAAAGTGTTCAACTACGGTTGATGGGTCCTTCACTACTGAGGACAGACTTCGATGAGGCAAGCCGCTATCCCATCTTGGTTCTCAAAGCAAGGATTGCAAGGAGGAAGAGCCTTCCTTAGACTCAGTCTCTTCTATTGATCCCAGATGTATTTCTTAGTGCTACATCGAGAGTAGGTTGTTTCCCGCCGTGTCGATCCACTTCAAGTTCTCATATGGTAAGGCCATTGGCTGGGCAAATTGGTTGGACACTGGGCAAATTGGTTGGACACTAGGCTTAACTTTGCGAACCAATGCACGACCTTGACAAAGGGCCAAGGTTTTGGATGCTTTCTTCATGACCAAGAAGCAGGTTGTTTGCCTCAAGCCCAAATTTCTTTGCCATTTGGTTAAGAGGTGGAGTACAGAGACCTATACCTTTGTTTGTGCTTAGGGAGAATTTATCCCTACTCTGGAGGATGTCGCCAATATTATGCATCTTCCAATTGCGGGTAATGTGGATCCCTTCCATTACGTCATTCCTTCTATAAACAAGAACATTTTTTATGTCTTGAAGAAAGGTGCTCCTACTTCTCTGAGCAAGGCTTTCGCTTCAACGAATGGATCAAACACTTTTGGCAAATAAACAAGAGTCAAACTGCAGGTTCGAGGCTATGTTGTGTTTGTGGCTAGGCCACTTTGTCTTCTGTGATAGCAAGGATACCTTCATTTGCCAAGTGATACCTTGGGCTATGACGATAGTACGTGGCCATGTGGTTCCGTTGGTTTCACTGTTTTTCAGGCTTCTCTACCATGAGCTAGATCAACTTCACACTCTGGAAGAACAAGTTGTGAGTAGTGTCTCGTTTAAAAGTTTCCTCTGCACTAGCTTTCTGCAAATTTTCCTATGTGAGTGTATCAAGGGTCTGAAGATAACCTCTTACCCTTCCGATGCAGTGAAAAG